AACTGGGTATTGTGTGTAGATGGGTAATTATTATTATTTTTTAAATACATTTTTAATTCATGCTGTAACAACAAAATGTGGAATAAGTCAATACTAAGTGAATACTTTCTGAAGGCACTGTACATTTTCCTTTGGAAATGAGCTTTAAGCTATCTCAAGTAGCAATTAACGTATAATGTTTAAAAGTAGGTAATCACTTCCATAGGAAAGGTATATTGATTCGATAGTAAAAGTCTAGAGGTCTTCTCTGCTTTCTATTCTGTCATTAAATCTCTTTAATGGTTAAATGTCTTTAATTACAATGATAAAATCCAATTGTTCTCACCATATGGTTGCATTGCGGAGAAACATATTGGCTAGATAGTGTTTAGCATTTAGCTACAGTCTTAATGTTGAAAATGTGTTGCTGTTCATGTAGGCTATTAATTATGACCAAATAGTCACCAAATAAACCAAAACTCTGCATAAAGTAGTCGAGTCCTGGGACATTAAATAAGATAGTGGGCCTCATAAAGTAATATAACTAATAAAAGTTATTTTGAGAAATAGTGATTTAAAGTCAACATTGGTCTATGCAGATAGTTCAAGATTCTTTGTGTGCATTAGAGCTGACTAGAACCCCTATCCCGTCCTATGCATAAACAGTGCCGATGTCCATGGTGCTGAAATATGATCCTTCAACAATACTGTACAGTGATCTATGCAGATAGTTCAAGATTCATACTCCCCCCTTGGGGTTTGGGTGCAGTAGAGCCTCTATCCCATCCCATGCAAACGCCAGCAGCAGCAGTGCTACTGTCCATCCTATCTCTCAACAAATCATTGGTTGATCTATGCAGATAGTTCAACATTTTTCGTTTCCCCCTTTGACTTTGAGTGCACTGGAGTTGACTAGAGCCCCATGCATAGGAAAAGAGCAGTGTCTGCTGTCCATGGTTCTGAAATGTGATCCCTCAACAACACATTCATTGATCTATCTATTCCACGCAGATAGTTTAAGATTCTCTATTTTGCCCCCTAGGAGTTTGGGTGCAGTAGAGACCATCCCATCCCATGTATAAGCAGTGCTGCTGTCCATGGTGCTGAAATCTGATCTCTCAACAGTACAAGCGCTATGCTGGAATCTACCTCATTTCTTAGCTGACCATTGGTCAAAATAAGCTACTTTTCCCATTGTATTTGAAGTTATTTAATTTCTCTTTCTTTCTTGCTTCAAATGTCCTATATCTTTACAACGTCATTTGAAATAGTTAATTTCCAACTGCAAGAAATGCAGTAAACGCAGAAAAACACTTTGATATGATATTGCGGTGTTCCTAAATTTAAAGAGCTCCTGGCATTTTTTTTGTTGAGCAAGCAAAATAAGTACTGCAGTGAAGACTATTGCCAAGTTTTACTTGGGCAGTCAAGACTAAGGAACTGTGGTCCTCTGTAGCTCAGCTGGTAGAGCACGGCGCTTGTAACGCCAAGGTAGTGGGTTCGATCCCCGGGACCACCCATACACAAAAATGTATGCACCCATGACTGTAAGTCGCTTTGGATAAAAGCGTCTGCTAAATGGCATATTATTATTATATATTATTATTATTATTAATCTATAACTGTACTACTATTACTTCTACTTATTATTAGATGAATAACTATTTCTATAGTTCTGACTCTGATTCTGATGTAACATACATCAACTGTCCCCAAATCAGTGTCTCTTAAGTATCTACTGTCCTGTCGGTCTCTAAACCCTCTAAGTACTGTTCTCAGATCTGCTTCTATCTGTCCCATATGCATCCAGTCCATCCCATGCAGCAGCCTCTGATAGTTGGTAAACCTTACCTGAGTGGAGGCTCTCTTGAATTATGGAGTCTTCATATAGATCTTTTTTCGTACAAAACACAAAGCTAGAAAGAAATTAGCAGAAAACAGTAAAAATATAAAATAATATTGAAAAGAAGTTCCAAGATAAAGATTGACTTTGGAATGACTGAAAAGCTGTGTGTGAGGTTGAGAAAGTAAACGTATAAGACAAGAAATTGACAGTGTTGTTGAAGAGAGAAAAAAATGCATTAAGCTAAATGTAATTGGGTGAGAAAAAGTCCAAAAATGAACAGGGGATAAAATATTAAAGAGCAAAGTGAGAGAAGCTTACTTTGCGAAATAAATAAAAAAATGAGGGGTAATTAGTAAAAATTGGAAAAAGGATAGGAAAATAAGAGTGAGGAAAAAAGAGAACGCACAAGTAAGATGCAGTAAAAAGGAGGAAAAGATAAGAGGAGTGCAGAGATGGGATGAGAGAGGGACACTGAGAAAGGAAAGAGAGAGTGTGAGAGGAGGAGGAAACTAAAGTCCATATTCCCCTTGAATGAAATGTGAATCCCTTATGCGGAATATTAGATTGAGTGAGCGAGGGGGGGGGGGGGGGGGGGGGGGGGTTGGATAAGGAAGAGGAGGAGGAAAGTGACGCATTCCTTTAGAATAGAAAAGGAGGTTAGGAGACAGCATGTAGAGGCTTTGCATTGAAGAACGCTTCATTTTCGGAAGCAATGGGACTCTACCCTGACAATGTACTGCAATGGGGATGTGCTGACCTAGCCAGGGGAAGGAGAGAAAGCAAATAACTCTAGCTTTTTACTGCAGTGGAATTCATTCACTTTTATAGCACACTCTCTCTCCCTCTGCCTCTCATTCTCTCTCTCCTCTCTCTCTGCCTCTCATTCTCTCTCTATCTCTCCCTGCCTCTCACTCACTTTCTCTCCCTGGCTCTCATTCTCTCTCTTCCCCCCACCCCCTCTATTATCAGTGCACAGTCGGTGTTAGTATCGTTCACTGGAATGTCTATAGTGGTGAGGTCGTAACTATACGGGGTTCACTTTCTCCTCTCCTCCTCAAAGAGGAGGATTCTGTTTTCTCTCTCTCTCTGTGATGAGGTGATGTCGAAGGAGTCAGGCGCATGAGTAAATCACAGAATAACAGGCTTTATTCCACAAATACAGAGTTAAGCAGAAATACGTCAAAAACACTCCAGTGCCCAAAACATGCGCACTGGGAAATACAAGGCACACTAGGAAATTTCCCGCTGATACAAAATACACGGCGCTCCACCGAGCTTAACTATCCTCCATAATAAACAATCACACACATAGACAAGGGGGCAGAGGGAACACTTATACAGGTACTGATGAGGGGATATGAACCAGGTGTGTGTAATGAACAAGACAAAACCAATGGAATGATGAGATGAGGAGCAGCAGTGGCTAGAAGGCCACCGAAACCTGCCCGAACAAGGAGAGTAGGCAGCTTCGGAGGAAGTCGTGACACTCTCTTTCAATTCAATTCAATAGACTTTATTGACATAGTAAGTTAAATTACTTACATTGTCGAAGTAAACATATAACAAAAATGGTGGGACCAACACTCTCTCTCACTCTCTCTCTTGCTCTTCATTTTAGTGATCCAATTGACATTTTAGTAATTTAGCAGACGCTCTTATCCAGAGCTACATTTTTCATACTGGCCCCCCGTGGGAATCGAACCCACAACCCTTGCGTTGCAAGCGCCATGCTCTACCAACTGAGCTCTATCTGTCCTGTCCCCAGGTCTTTGTTGAGCATCACTTGTTTTCCCCAATCTAGATTATTTCTGTCCTTTCTGATCACGCCATCAAAAAGCTGATTTATCATCTGTCTCTCACTCCCCCCTCCTCTCTCTTTCTCTCTCTCTCCCTCTCTCTCTTACACACACACACACACACAGACACACTCACACACACACGTACACATGCACACATACACACAAACACATACAATGCAGAAGAAGCTATGGAATAGCATGACATAACCGTGCTTCAGTTGAATGTAACAGGAGTAGAGGGATACAGGGATAGAGGGAAGCTTGGTGCTTGTGATCTAACATTAGTACGGAGACTGCACTCCTGGGAAGCAATAAACACACACACACACATGCATACGCAGACACACGACTACACACACACACATATCTAATGCTGCGCCACCTTACATCAGAAAAGCATTAGGGACGAGAGAAACAGGAAGTGAAGGAGTGAGATGTATCCCCGATTTGTTATGCTATACCTCCTTCCCTTTCTCTCTCGCTTTCACTCTTTCTCTCGTTCTCATTCCTCCTCAGATGGTGTCCCTCTCCCCAGTGACACACACTCTCCCCCCCCCCCCCCCCCCCCCCCTCTCTTTCTCGCTCTCTCCTACTGGGTACCGAGGCAAGCAGATAGCAGTGTGTGTGTGTTTGTGTGTGTGGGGGGGGGGGGGGTCTATTTCAATGAATTGGGAGACATTTGAATCATTTTGGTATCATGTACATATCATCTTACAGTAACAGCAGCAGGAGGCACAACATGTAACTAGTCGAATGAGAGTGATACTAGGTGCTGAAATATGAAATGGAAGATATTTTGTTTATAGCACATTCACAACATGTATCTTTTATGCTCAAGCATTAGCCCCTTACTAGCCGTTTTTGCATTACTTTAAACTCATCCTATTATTCTCATATTTCAGCCTACACATGTCCACTTTAAATGTTAAAAAAACGTAAACTAATACCAATATCATCAATGTTAAATCAAACATGTGACATTCCCCACATTTCACTAATTTATTACTGTATGTTAGTGAATGAATGTAAACTAGGCCTACACCTCTACTGTCTTCTGGTGAATATTGCTTTTCTGAACAGCCTTGTTAAACCAACTTTACAGCCAACCTGTTTTATCTACTGAAATCGTATAGCTTATGCAACTGCTGCAAGGTCATTTACTACACCCTATGCACCTTACATTATGAATTATAGCATAACTGTAGTGTAGACTATTACTATAACTTCATTGGAATTTGAGTGTTCATATTTTATCCATAGATAACTTTCCTTTTTGCTAAAATTAAGTCCCTTTCTCTCCCCGCAGACTCCTCCTCCCGCCTGCTCCCGCCTGCTCCCTCCGTTTTCTCTCCTCCTCTCGCTCCCCCCGTTCCTCTATGCTCAGTTCGGTCTGTGTTTCCTCTTTCAAAGGGCGCAAGGGTGGGAACAAGTCGTCCAACAAAGCATGTTACACTGCAGACATGACTTGTCTGTCGGAAAGCGAGAAAATCGTGATAAACTGCGGGGGGGTGCGGCATGAAACCTATCGAAGCACACTAAAAACGTTGCCTGGTACCCGTTTATCTTGGCTTACCGAACCGGACGCCTTTAGCAACTTCGATTACGACCACAAAAACGACGAGTTCTTCTTTGATCGCCACCCATCCGTTTTTTCATTCATCCTCAACTATTACCGCACAGGGAAGTTGCACTGTCCAAACGATGTGTGCGGTCCGCTGTTCGAAGAGGAGCTGGCATTCTGGGGCATCGATGAGACGGATGTGGAGGCGTGTTGCTGGATGAATTACCGCCAGCACAGGGACGCAGAGGAGGCGTTGGACAGCTTTGAGAATCCAGAACCGGAGTTGGCAGAGGAAGACCCAACGCTACCAGGAGGCGCAGATGGGGACATGAAAAGACTGTGCTTGCATGAGGATGGAAGGAAAAAGACTTGTTGGGAAATTTGGCGACCCAGAATGTGGGCCCTTTTTGAAGACCCCTATTCTTCAAAATATGCCCGGGTGAGTATCTCCTTTTTTCTTAATTGATTGCTTTAAATGTCATATTTGTCATTTCAACTGTGACCACTAACATCTTAGTCACAATACTTTGTTGAAAGTTTATAAAATGAGCTTCCCATGATCAACCTATATGCCTATAGTTGTCATGAATAATGAATGCTAGATTTTCATTCAAGCTATCATAATCGAGCAGACCACTTAGGTAGGCTATGACTTTCTGACAGTTTGCTTGTGTTAAATAGCAGGATATAGACTCACGGATACTGAATTATTAATTGTGATAGCATAGGAAAAATTATATGGCTTCTATTTTAATTTCAGATTGTAGACTATAGGCTAGCCTACGTGTTGATATTGTTTCGTTATGAGGGTGCTGCCAAATCAATTAGTTGCCATCGATATTGATCACATATGTTTTTTAACTAATGCTTTTATATTAATATTATCTACATAACTTAGCCTGCTATAATAGGTTCCATACCTGCATCCATGCGCAATATTTTCTCCGTCTCACTCCCGTAGCCTACCTAACCTACCCAACATTCTTCATTAGCCTGTTTTATGATGCGCCTAAGCACGCTGTATTTCATGTTATTTATTAAACGCTCATTTAATCCTAGCCTTCATACATCGAAGCTTGAACATAAAACAAGTCCCCTTTTCGTTTTTCTCCATTTGCCCTTGGGTATTCTCATTTGTAGCTAGCTTAGGCTATGATAATTCCCCTTTATGCACTCTTTTCAGACCCATTTCCTAGAAACTGCCTTCGATTCGAATCAGTCGGTTCTCAAGTTAATAGTAAAGAGAGCAGAGGAGTGGAATGTACAAACGCTTTCACTGTTTGATGAATGATTATCCTTGAAAGTGCAGAAATCACACATAGTATAATATAAGGGTAACAAGATGAATGATCTCCTATTTTCCAGTGGTGGAAAAAGTACTCAATTGTCATACTTGAGTAAAAGTAAAGATACCTTAATAGAAAATTACTCAAGTAAAAGTGAAAGTCACCAAGTAAAATACCACAGTCTAAAAGTATATGTTTTTAAATGTACTTAAGTACATTGGTGGAAAAAGTACTCAATCATCATACTTGAGTAAAAGTAAAAAGTAAAAGTTAATGTTATACATCAAATTCCTTATATTAAGCAGTGATGGAAAAAGTGCCCAAAAGCCATACTTGAGTAAAAGTAAAGATACCTTACTGGAAAATGACTAAAGTAAAAGTGAAAGTCACCCATTAGTATACTACTTGAGTAAAAGTCTTAAAGTACCTGATATTAAATAGTCATAAGGTAAATTCACTTAAGTATCAAAAGTAAAAGCATGAAACGTAAGAACCGTAAATCCAAAAAGCAAAACAGCCAGACCTTTTATTTGGTTTGAGCTTTTCTGAAAGGTAACAGTCTTACGGATACAAGAAAAGCTCTGATTAAAAAAAGAATGTGGATTCTGAAATTGGCAACACTTCAAAATACATCTCTTACAGACAAAATGATGCCTTAATAATGAAGGAATATAGCCAGTAAATGTACGCACTTACAATAACAGTCACTTTGCTTTAGAAAAAACATCCTATAATAGAACCCTATGCTTTCGGTGTTTTGGTGGGTCTAAATATTGATTATCCAAAGGGATTAAAATATACCTTTGAGGTCCTCCAGAAGGTTCTGATGGACATTGATGGGGGGACCTGCTCTGCACGTGCTCTTGGACTACGAAACAAATTGCTTCAGGGCACATTATAGAGGCAAGTTGCGAAACACAACAAGGCAGCCAGCCTACTGTTATAGTTGAAACCAATGAGCCCTCTACACAGAAACACTGTGTCACAGGGACATAGCAACGTTGTTGTTCAGATATCGCCCACCTTTTTGTGGTTTTAAAGACCATAGGCATTAGTAATTAAGTTGTATGATACCTTTCAGGCCTATGATTCCAAGGTGGTAGTAGTGACACTGTTATAGTGTCACAACTCTGTTATAGTTGAAACCAAATCTACACTCAGAAACATTGTCCCAAGGAAATGTTTTGTTTATTTATGGCCTTGATCGTTTTGGGAAATTGTTGATTTTATATATTTTTTCATTTTTAGAACAATGGTAAATTCCATGCATACAGTTTATGTACAGCACTTTGTTGTTTTGCATATTTGGAAATGTATATGGTTCAAAATAATGTAACCATTTTATTATTGTCTGTTGGACAATTGTTAAAATAAATTTGCACTTTTAATAGTGAAATCTTGTTTCAGAGAGTTTTCAGTTGATCCTGTTGGAACACTTTTGTTGTCATTGCAAATGTTAACGGTCAAGGAAGTTGACTAAATTTAAGATCGCTAGTAGGGCCAACTTTGTGTAAAAGGTACCTTGTTGCCTTAGGATTTTAAGTTCACTCAACCAGATGCTAAGTTGAAATGCATTGAATAACTTTGTTGGAACTACTAAAATAGATAGTTGATAAGACCACAAATATTTTGTTTGCAGAACTAATTGTTTTAAGTTTGACAAACTTTAATTTGAGCTGAGGGAACTGAAACTACTTTGTTGGTTCAACATAAACATCACTTCATTAGACTAAATATTCTATATTGATTCATTGGTTTATCATCAGTCAGGGAAGTCATCTGAACTTCTTATTTTAATTTGGACAAACTAAAGTGTGTGTTGAAATAACTTGAGAGCCTTTGCTTAACTTAATCAACATTTTAAGACAACCAGGTATTATTATTATTTTTTGTTCAGTCAACTTGTAATTTTTTACAGTGTATACATTTTTTAAAAAATGTTGATGAGCTTATCAAAAGTACATGTACAGAACTACACACAACCTCACTGTAGGAAAATGAGGACATCACCACTGATAGAACTGTACTAGAAATCAGTGTGTCAGGTCAGCTCTTAAGATGGTGTACATGCTTTCTCTGAAATAAGAAGAAAAGTGCAACATAACTACCATCACCAAATACTTAGGGTATAGGATCCTAATTTTAAATCTATGAACAACATTAGTTAAGTGAGAGTTTGTGACCACCATTTAATTTTACATTGAGAAAAAACCATGTTAATTGATCTAGCTAGTAGGTAACGTCAATAACTTAAGTATACAGTAATTAGCTAGGTAAGAACAACTTTATCAACTAACACAAGGAATAAAATGGCCACGAACACCTGAAAGCTAACATTAGTTAGCTAGCTAGCTTGACCAGGTGTTTAGAGAAAAGGTATTTGGCTAGACTAACGTTAGCTGACTAAAATGTGCCCAGAAACGACTAGTTAACAAGCTAGCAAGTTAGCTCGTGTCAGTTTAGTACGATTGCGTTAGCTAAGCTAGTAGGTAGCTACTAGCTAGTGAACTATTTAGGTATTTACAGTGGGGGAAAAAAGTATTTAGTCAGCCACCAATTGTGCAAGTTCTCCCACTTAAAAAGAAGAGAGAGGCCTGTAATTTTCATCATAGGTACACGTCAACTATGACAGACAAATTGAGAAGAAAAAAATCCAGAAAATCACATTGTAGGATTTTTAATGAATTTATTTGCAAATTATGGTGGAAAATAAGTATTTGGTCACCTACAAACAAGCAAGATTTCTGGCTCTCACAGACCTGTAACTTCTTCTTTAAGAGGCTCCTCTGTCCTCCACTCGTTACCTGTATTAATGGCACCTGTTTGAACTTGTTATCCGTATAAAAGACACCTGTCCACAACCTCAAACAGTCACACTCCAAACTCCACTATGGCCAAGACCAAAGAGCTGTCAAAGGACACCAGAAACAAAATTGTAGACCTGCACCAGGCTGGAAGACTGAATCTGCAATAGGTAAGCAGCTTGGTTTGAAGAAATCAACTGTGGGAGCAAATATTAGGAAATGGAAGACATACAAGACCACTGATAATCTCCCTCGATCTGGGGCTCCACGCAAGATCTCACCCCGTGGTGTCAAAATGATCACAAGAACGGTGAGCAAAAATCCCAGAACCACACAGGGGGACCTAGTGAATGACCTGCAGAGAGCTGGGACCAAAGTAACAAAGCCTACCATCAGTAACACACTACGCCGCCAGGGACTCAAATCCTGCAGTGCCAGACGTGTCCCCCTGCTTAAGCCAGTACATGTCCAGGCCCGTCTGAAGTTTGCTAGAGTGCATTTGGATGATCCAGAAGAGGATTGGGAGAATGTCATATGGTCAGATGAAACCAAAATATAACTTTTTGGTAAAAACTCAACTTGTCGTGTTTGGAGGACAAAGAATGCTGAGTTGCATCCAAAGAACACCATACCTACTGTGAAGCATGGGGGTGGAAAAATCATGCTTTGGGGCTGTTTTTCTGCAAAGGGACCAGGACGACTGATCCGTGTAAAGGAAATAATGAATGGGGCCATGTATCGTGAGATTTTGAGTGAAAACCTCCTTCCATCAGCAAGGGCATTGAAGATGAAACGTGGCTGGGTCTTTCAGCATGACAATGATCCCAAACACACCACCCGGGCAACGAAGGAGTGGCTTCGTAAGAAGCATTTCAAGGTCCTGGAGTGGCCTAGCTAGTCTCCAGATTTCAACCCCATAGAAAATCTTTGGAGGGAGTTGAAAGTCTGTGTTGCCCAGCGACAGCCCCAAAACATCATTGCTCTAGAGGAGATCTGCATGGAGGAATGGGCCAAAATACCAGCAACAGTGTGTGAAAACCTTGTGAAGACTTACAGAAAACGTTTGACCTGTGTCATTGCCAACAAAGGGTATATAACAAAGTATTGAGAAACTTTTGTTGGCTTTAAGAGGAGCCTCTTAAAGAAGAAATTACAGGTCTGTGAGAGCCAGAAATCTTACTTGTTTGTAGGTGACCAAATACTTATTTTCCACCATAATTTGCAAATAAATTCATAAAAAATCCTACAATGTGATTTTCTGGATCTTTTTTCCTCAATTTGTCTGTCATAGTTGACGTGTACCTATGATGAAAATTACAAGCCTCTGTCATCTTTTTAAGTGGGAGAACTTGCACAATTGGTGGCTGACTAAATAC